GTTGTGGGGGTGGGGGGGGGGGGGAAGCAAACCAACCGTGTCCTAATGTTTCCTTGCTTGTTTGTCCAGGTCGTCCCTTTTCTTTCTTGCCAAACAAGCGGCCTATTGAGGATTTGATCCCCTTCTTTTTGGGGGCTTTATGAAGGGAATCTTGGCTACTGTTGCTGCTACTAGGATTACTTGTTTGCCCATCTTGCGAGCCTGTTGAACTTTACAAAAAAAAAAAAAAGAGTCATAAAGGAGCACATGTACAACAAATTCACTGGCGTAACATAGTGAGAGACAAGTTCAGGTTTCTGTGCAAGTTAACGAAAGCTCAGTAACTCACTAATGACATCTAATTTCACCTTTTAGTAAGTCATGAAAAGAAACTTATCTACTAAAATACATGTCATTAAACAGAAAAAGCAGTGGAAACAACTAAAACATGCAAGAAAGGAAGGGATACAACATTTATATACTACAGCATGAGAACAACAAGTAATTTCTTACTTTAAGAAATAACAGTGTTTAAAGTGCAATTCAGAGAGGCCAAAGTTGACAACACAAGTTCCTGACAAATTGAGGCAGACAATGGAGGTTTGAAATATTTGAGTGGAATCCATCTCACATACTTAAGCACTTTGAAAAGAATGTCTGTCAATCAAAATTATGGTAATTTTGCAACTTATTTCTAAATTTATAGCTAAATTCCAACCTATGAAAGAAGACTGGAATTGTACATCTTTCCTTTCCTAATCATGAAGCAAACTTAATGCAGACCTTGAGTACCAGAAAAATTCTGCACATAAAGCCATTTCTGATCATTAACAAAATCTGCATTCTTATTGTTTATGTAACATAGCCACCCATTCATGTGTTCATGCTCTTTACTTTTGAGAAACGCTTCAGTATCGAAACTAAAATCCTACAGACTGAACAGCTTTGCAGTTTTAGGATTTTATTCTGATCATCTGAAACACTAAGTTACTGGGAGGTCTGACTTATTCACAGCTACTTACTTTCTTATGTCCCTGATATCTTCATGGCTCACTGTATGCAAAGCTCCTTTTTGGACTCTGTCCAAACGCAAAGATCGAGGCGAAGAAGGTGGTGACGTCTCACATTTTATTGTGGTTTTATCGTCTCGTACCTCTTCTCTAGAAGCTGGTGACTAATGGAAAATGAATGAAAACTTGAGAGATTAGTTCGAAATGCCAAAATATGAACGCAATATCAACACTACACAAAACATTGAAAGTAAAAAAATCTATTATTTCAGTGTTAAAGGATTACTCTCGCCCTTACCATTCTATATTTGCCTATTTTTTGTTTGACTTCTTTCTGGATATTCTGTTACCTTCAGTGACAAACTACTAAATTTCAGTTTTAGCTAGTGAAATGAGCAAGTAGCACTCATCTTGTATTCAATTCATAGAGCTAAGAATTAAAGTAGTCTTCAGCACCATAAAACTAATACACCCAACATCAGTTCAAGCAAGTGCAAAGACAGAAAACCAGAGAGTCCTGTGAAAAGATGGCATCTTGATTCTCACTGTTATGTGTTTAGACAATCATTAGCAAGATTACCAGTAAACTGAAGTCAGTTTCCACATGCCTGTGGCTATGGCTTATCCCAAAGTCTGAATAACAGAAATTAAGACTTATTTGTGTGTGCACTAAGATCTTTAAAATTAAATATTGTTTCATGAAGATTGCAAAATAGCAGCTACAAACAGAAAGCAACACAACAGTCCCCCACACCAGCAAAAAAAGCCAAACAAAACAAAAACCCGCAAAACAAAACAAACCTGCATTTACATTAAGATGATAAACCATTTTACATTTAATATCAAAGAGCATATAAACTTGCTTTATTATAGGGTTATCCTGCAAATGCTTTCTTTTATGTTCCTGTTATCCATTAATGAGTTTGGGGACAGGGAAGGAGATGAAGGGGCACACCAGTAAATAAACTAAAAACTTTTACCTTTCTACGGTGTTTCCTTAAATCACTAGGCTGATAGATGCATGCAAAGAAAAGAAATTTAGAGAAGCCATATTTACTGTAAACTGTAGCACAGACTGAAACAACTAGTATAGACAAAACATATTAGGGAGAATATAAATAACAATTACAGCAATGGCACAGAGAGATACAGAGTATGAAGTACTCTTCAAATCACATATTACTTAAACGTATCCCTGAAGAGGGGAAAAGGAAGGAAAAGAAAAAAAAAATCAAGACTTACAGTTGGTTATCTATAAAAGTACCTTAGATAATTCAATGTATTGGTACCACAGGCAAATTAGCACACAAAACATGCATTATCTTCAGCAAGAAAAACAGCAAAGTACATGGGGGCGCAAGGTGTTGCTTTTAAAAGTGAGAGGATTTCCAGTCACATGTCAAGGACTTGCCTTGAACTATATAACCTACATGGTGGCCATAGCAGGCTTAATACATTGTCTGCGCTAGTCCCTTCTCACACCTTAGCAATTTCTGCAGTTGTTTCCTACATAGCACAGAAAGCAGCCATACTTTAATACTGTGAAAGACAGAGCCAACAATAGCTGATTTCTATATAGTAACAGTATTCTGTTCTGTTTACTAAATTTAACATGCTAGAATGTTTGAGCAAGAGTACCACCGGTTTTATTTTATCTTCCATCCACTCCAGAAGCCACTGTATCTCACTTCCTAGGCACTTCCCACCTCTGCCAGTGCACAGAGCAAGGCAGCAACCCTGAGTTGCATGAACAAGTTATCCAGTTATTCAGACTGATGCTGACAAAAGTTTAATTGAGATAATTTGTTTAATAATTATCACTGTATTTGGCAACAAATTATTTCAAAAGACTGTAACCAAAAATGAAGTCAGTCCCCTCTGAAGTGTGGCGGGGCAGTTGTGTGTGTTGTTTCCCTCCCACAAATGACAACTTTTAACTGTTTTTTATTTAGAATACATGCAAACTATTTACATTAACATGTAAAGTTTTGTTCAATCTGGAATACTATGTTAATAAATCATAAGTTCAAAGAGTCATAGAAGGGTTTGGGTTGGAATGGACCTTTAAAGATCATCTAGTCCCTCCTCAAGTTCTTTGACAAAGCACAGCAGACTCATTTTACCCGTGCTGGATCTTTCATCAATTAAATCTGATAGCCCATAAAAATGTTTACCATATGGAAGGAAAACTGTCCACAAGAACTGTTCCAGAGAACTGTAGGTTTCATAATTTATCATGTTGATGCGTTTTGATTAATTTTAATCACGAGGGGTTTTCAGCTAACTGAACTGCCTAACACCACTACTGCAGTTAGCATTAAGCTAATGTTGCCATCATGCTCATAAAGTAATGCAACTTGCTATTAAAACATCAAAAAAACCCCCCACAAGAACTCAGTCTGATAATTTGTAATAGCCATTCCCAAAGTTTCTAGAAAGCTCGTGTTCTGTAATTCTAGAAGCATAGCTTCTTGTTTTCATGCTTTCGCAAATGACTTGCCAGGTACTAAAACATCAGACAAATGCAACTGCAAGCAATGGATCAAGTGCCTTTCAGTTACGATTCTTACGATCTAAAGTGAACTTAATTATTTTACTTATGTTAAAATTTAATGTAACCGAACAAAAGACACACGTTCTTCTGATTAGTTTTCATGAAAATAGCTACTTAAATTTGTATGTGGTTTTCTGTAAGAGAAGTACTTAGCTTCATTACTTATTACTGTGAAAAGTTAGAATATAAAGCACTCCACATTTTGAAATTTTTTAGTTTCTGTAAAAGAAGTACACTTGACCCTGGATATACAGCTAGAGCTAGTGTAATGATTTAAAAAAAAAAAATGCAAGGAAGGCAAAACGATTCCTTTTTATGAAAAAAAATAGATGTTTTGGTATATGTACACATTCATTTTAAAGCCAGCAAAAGTAGTTAGCCAAAATATTTGTTTTTAAACATTCCTGTAAGAGACCTAAAGGAGCTGTCAGTCATTTACAGTCTACCCGCTCTTACAGTGATGGACAGCATTCCTTGTCTACTGATTGGTATGGTATAGGCATGATACAAGTGCAGTAATCCAAGGCAATAAGGTATACTAAGTATAGTGTTGCATGTACAACTAGTAAGTACAGTTTCCAAATGGACATGCAAATCTGGGGACAAAGTCATGTATTTAGAGCTAAGTTAGAAAAGGAGCTTTTCCTGGAAAGTGCTTGCAAATAAATACCCGTATCGAAGATGCTCCTTAGTGAAAGGTATTCCACATAGGAGAAACTGTTAGGTTTGCTTAAAAATTTACGTAAAAACAAAAAAGTGGAAAACTTGTACCTTGATTTTACAGATAGGTTTACATGCACAAAGCAGCTCCTAGAAGGATTAATTTTTCTAAGCAGTCATATGAATGTCCAAAGAATAGATCCATCTTTCTCTACACCCTGAACTGCTAAGCCCAAGCTACTACTTCATCAGCTACTAACTACAGGTCTAACAGATACTTCTAGCAGATACTTCTTTTACCTACCAGTCTTACTAGGCTAAAACAAGACACCAGCGCTCATTAATATTAGAACAGCTGTGATACCTTCACAATCTTCAAGATTAATGCAATACATACAAATCACTTTTTAGCTGACTATTTAGTGGAATAATGGACTGCTAAAAATAAAGTTTAAAGCAGAAGGAGAAACTGGTTGCTGTACCAGGGGTTGAAAAGAAAACATTATTTCTTCTAGGAAGAGGAGTCAGAAGAAAGACCATAACAACAGAAAGAATACTTAGGCATGAGCTGTTGACCAAATAATAGACTTGAGTTCTGAACGTTTTTCCTAATCATTATGACTGTATCTTACACTTTTTATAGAAGTTGAAAGGAAGCAGTAGAAAAACCTAGAGAAAGGAAAAATACAGCTGAGTAAGAAGGAGAGGAAGGGGAAAATTAAACAACCCATTTCCTAGAGAAAAGGAACACTCTTCAGAAAAATTAAAGTTCATGGATACTTACCAGTGTCATGATACCTAGTCTGTCCACTTCCCGAGCCGGACTATGTGGAATCCGCCTTGGGGTGGAGCGGCCACTGCCAGGTGGGGAAGAACCAGCAAGTGAACCACTTGCATAGGGAGGAGGAATGGAGCTCATGGACCGGAATCGACCATGGGCATCCAAACTTCCACTACCCACTCTGCTTTCAATCTCCTCAGCACGCTGCTCTGTGTTTTCCTTCTCTTCTTGTATAAGTCTAAAAGAAAAAAGTTCCAAAGGAACATGACATTCAAACAAGTACCACATAAACAGAAAGGCTGACTCAGGCATTAGAAAGAAGCAGCACTTGGCAGACAAAACAGCTACACTGAAACAATCTTCTAATCCAAGCTGAAAAAAAGTGGCAAACACTACTGTATCACCATTTTGCAGGGTTTTCTGTCAAACTAGTATAATCATAGAATCGTTTCGGTTGGAAAAAGACCTTTAAGATCATCCAGTCCAACCATTAACCTAACATTACCAAGTCCACCACTAAACCAATTAAGGGGAGAGTAGCAATTTCATGTTTCCTGGCTTGGTGGCTGGATTATTTATAATGAAAGTAAAAACCAGGAATCATCAAGATTGGAAAGGACCTCTAAGATCATCAGTCCAACCATCAACCCAACACCACCATGTCTACTAAACCATGTCCCAAAGTGCCACAGTAGTAATACACAATCCCTTCCGTAAGTGGGACTGAAGACAAAGAACCTGAAGAGAGTACTTCAACATAAGCAAACTAGTTACTTCTGTCAACCCTCCTGCAGCAAACTGAATGGGCAACCACCATTTTCCAAGTAACCACACAAAAAGGATTTCTAGTGTCACAGAAATTCATTTTTATCAAAACCGTAACAGCAGACAGACCATACCTAATCTCTTTGTTGATCGCATCCAACTGTTCTTGAAGCATCATGGCCAAAGTCTGAGCATCAGCCTGACCACTTGGTGATAGTAGATCCACTGAACTGAATATAGTCTCCCTATCATCCTCAACATCTGACACATCAACATCACTTTCAAATGCTTGTGCCACATTTGCCAATACACTTGCTTGCTGGGCTCGCTCCCAGTCCTGCTCGTTCAGAGTTTGAACCTAAGAGAATTAATAAAAAAAAAATTCCAAACTCAAATGAGAAAAACATGACATTCTACTGGTTTTCAAGATGTTTAAAATAATTTTTTAAAAGCCCACTTACATGCTGAATGCATCCATCAAGACAGCAACGTTTAGAGAAATGTAAAAAAAAAAGCTATAATGTAGAAAACTTTACATCTTGCAGTTAAGTGAAATTTAAAAGTGGACAGCCCCATTGAATAAATTAAAATATCACATATCTTGGCTATATACACTCTAAATTATGGCAGAATTTTGCTATCAAATCCAATGAGAATATGGCATCAGCTTTATGTAATGAGAACTTGCATCCTGAAAGGGACTTGAAATTGCTTCCAGAACAGTAACATGATAGATTAGCGCATAGGCATAAAAGTAGGACTGTTTCAAATTATATTTTACAGGCTTATCAAACTTAAAACAGACTGGACTTCAAAATCCCAGTTTTGGAATCATTTATTAACAATTAAAAAGACTATTAGCTGTGCATTAGTTAGTAGAACAGGATATATAAAAATCTAGCAGTTTTATTGCTAGGTACTCCTAAAAAATCCTTGCAATAGATTAGCCTCATCTAATCTACTTTGTTGCCCAAGTTTTATTTTTATTTTAATTTCAGAGTTCTATTACCTTTGAAGGTTCATCTCTGAGAGCTGCCAAACGTCCTTTCTGGGGACGCCTTAACACTGATGAGGTGCCATAGGAGTCTGTATGACTGTCAGCCACAGACGAAGATGCCATAGGGTATCTGAAGTCTGCTCGGCTAGAACACGAAGAAACATTTATCCTTAAGAAGGCAGGGGGAAGGGGGAAACAAACCAAAAAAACCACCCAAATGATTCCTACTGTCCCACCAGTGCCATTTTTTTAAGCAGTATAAAAATGGCTTTATATGCTCTATAAAGAGTATGTTTCATAGCTATGATTAAAGTATTTTCAGTTATAATAGACAAAATTACATTTAGCAAAATTACTTTAAAGACATTAGAAAGAACTACAATTAAGTGCTGGTACCTATGATGAAGTGATGTGGCTCTGAGTCTCACTTGGTCATTTTCAGCCCTTAATGCTTCGACATTTAATACAAGTTGATCCTGCAAAAATAAATAGACAAAATACATAACAATATGCTTAAAAAACCACCAGTGTCAAATAGTGATTTATAAATTAACATTTAGTTATTTGATCTCATTTCTATGAAACTCAGAAATAACAGATTTTAAAACACACCCTTCAATGACGTAAAACGTCAAAATTATTTTTGCTACACACAATACAGCACCATCACAAAAGGGCATCCAAGAATAATTCTGTTGCCTCTCTACACTGTGACTCTAGGTAATGACAATGTATATTTCAGAAACAGCTACTAAATAAAATTCACATATTATTAACTTTACTATAATTAAGTGATACTATTTAATCAGAAGATTTTTCAAGCTCTATGCATAAAAGGTTCTAAATGCATTCACTTTTAACGTGGACATTTTTACATGCTCTAGGAACTCAGAATTTAACAACAGAGAAATCCAATGAATGAGAAAACAATGAAAAGCTAATAAAAGTGGCTGATGAACATCTGTGCCTTGTGTGAAAACTGCTGGCTTACACATACAAAAATTCAAAGCACATTCTGCAAAATATTCTGAATGTGTTCTTCGTTTTATTACAGAAGCACAGCCTCTATAAGTTCAGCCTAGCTACTTCCTAGAATGATTTGGGGAGATGCAGTACACCTGTGATTTAATAAGCAATAACAAGTATTATTTCAGAACAGGTAGTGTGACCACAAAATCAATTGCCGCTGCTTAAGGATGCAAAGAAGGGCCCCACCACTATTATTCAAGAAGGGAACTTGCCAGTTCCAGGAGAAGCAAAACACCAGACAGCTGCTTTTGCAAAGGAACAGCCAAGTCTAATAAATATTTCTCTCCCTGCCCCCCAATTCCTAAAACTTGAAAAAATTTTTTATCAGTTGAACAAGCATTTCATAATACCCAATGCTTTAAGAAAAAAAGTTATGGGAAAATACCCAACATTAAAAGTAGTTTTACTGTTCAAGGTCATACACGCAACAGTATACAATGCAATCTTCAAACTTTGGCAAATTGCCAATATATCCAGCCACTTTACATATTTAAAAGTGTGTTAAGTCTTTGAGTAAGAAGCTACGTATTACCTATAAAATCATCATAAAACTGATGCACACAATACTATAAAATGAGCAATAACAGCTCCCTACTTCTAAACAGACCGGATAATGTTAAGTTTTATGGAGGAATTCAAATCCGGTCCTGCTATGTAGCAATGCAGCAATTATTTTCCAATATAACAGTTCAGAAATGTGTATTATACCTTTTCATGCTGAAGTTCCTCTATTTGTTTTTTCGCATTTTCAATTTCTCGAAGAAGTGAATTCTAAAATAAAATGTATCACAAATTATGTTACCTATAAAAGCTTTCAACTCTTAAACCATAACCAAGATGAGTATCACAAAATTTCAGTCAACGCTATAGAGACGCATCTTAAATTACATATACTTTATTGCTTGCATCATTTCACTTTGATTATAGTTGAAGGTTTATCCTTTCAGGTCTACAGCCCTCTAAATAATGGATTTGGTAATAGTACAAGTTCCATAAAAATGTAATACCAATACCAGCCTTTTGAAGCTCCACCTGACAAAACTGGCAAAAAAAAAAAAAAGAATAATAATTATGCAGCTAAAATAATTGAAAGTAATTCACTGAGTGGTTACTAAGGCATTACTGGCTGTTATCATTAGGTCTTCATTTTATTTTCACTTGCCTGACCTACAAAATTACTACACTACAAATTCACACTAAGAATCACCTGAGAATTAAAAAAACATTTGAGAGCTACAACAATGAAAGAATTTCAACTACTGTATTTGACTGTAGTATGTGATACCAAGAAAAAAATTCAGAGATTCCACCTTCTAATAGGAAATTTATAACTGGGTCACTTTCTTTTCCTTTTCCACCATTGCCAAGAAGTTCTGCTAAACACATTTCCTTGACTTAAGTAATACCATTACTTGCATCTTAAACATGTAATAAAGTTCCATACGTAAAAAAAAAAAAAAAAAAAAAATCATCATTCTGGGAAAAAAGCCCAAGTGATCAGAAGAAAGTCTTAAAATTTTACCTGCACACTTCTTCCCAACTTATCATCAAAGAATAAGCTGGAAGCCACAGCAAGAATACTTTTCCAGAAGCTGTTACTTACAGTGAAGGACAACTAGATTTTCCTCATTATTCATGAACATAATTAGGGTTTGGAGAGTAAAGGGGAGTTAGGCTTAACCCTAAGACATCCCCCCAATATTCAAGCATTTCTTAAAAAAAAAAAAAAAAAAATGCAGTCAGCTGTTTTACAGAAATTGAATTTGCAAAGACTGTTAGAGCAACCTTGTTGATGTCATAACAAGGGCCATAACAAGAATTTCTGAAGTATTAGGAGCAGTTGGTGATATTGAAAATAGTGATGTTAACTAAAAATCACAAGACAAAATTTGCAGCCTTAGATGCCAGACGATAAGCACCTTTATCATTAACTCAAAGGCCAAGAATCAGTAGAACCTACATTTGTTCTGCACTACCCGATTCCTCTCACGCAAAAGCGGGGCAAAGACCAAACTAAATCTTTGTAATGATCTGAAGGGAGCACAGTCCTGGAATTCTGGAAAGACATGTCAGATACCTGACATCAGGTTTAGGGATGAGAACTGAGCTGACATGAATGCAAGAGAAAGTAAACATTTATTAAAGTCTGAATATATCGTTGTATATTGCAACTGAACCATTTTATTGCCATGACTTTAAACCAAAAGCCACTCAGTTCTTCTTGAAACATTTCCCCAGATGGTCATTTCAGCCTCCAGTAAAAGAAGCTAAGTATTTTCTTAATCCAAGACAAAGCAATTCAAAGTCAGCATCAAGCAAAGTGCTACTTCAGAAAACACTGCTTTGTTCAATGCAGAATAAGGGAATCCTTAAAGACATCCATGGAAGAAAAATCTGTAAGGACCTAGATCCAAAAGCAGAAGGGAAGAGACAGAGTAAAGCATATCAGAAGTTAGAAGATGAATTGAATACAGGGGAAAGCTCTGTGACATGCATTGACAACCCAGGGAACAGCCCATTTACATTCATATAACCTGTCTCAAAATGATCTACCTGGGAAGAAAATGCAAGATTGTTTCAACTTGCAAGAATCCCACAATGACTCGGGGTAACTGGTACAGAAAAAAAGCAGTGGGAAATAAAAGAAACTACACTGAAAAGGTCAAAGTCCTAGTCCTAATTCTTTAGACTTCCTGTATTACACTGGATGAGCCTATTTATGCAGTCCACACCAGTCAACTAAGAAAGGATAAAGCTTCTTCAAAAAGCAAAAAGATGCCTTCTCAACACTGTAGTACAATGCCCAGGGAAAATCCAAAAAAAAAAAAAAAAAAAAAAGAATTTTAAGAACTTATTTTCAAAATCCACACTAGAAAACAGCCTTAACAGAAACTATGTATTAATAAGGATTTAGTACTTAATTACTGAAGTTACAGACACATTGCAAAACACACAAATCACTACAGAATGTTGAACATCTAACAAATGTATATGGTGGAATGTGACTTGTTACCTTATCTTCTAAGGCAGCCATCCTTTCCTTGAGATGAAGCTGAAGCCTTTCATTAGATTCAGACAGAAGCTTATCAACAGTTTCTGACAAACGTTTATTATGCTCTTCATTCATCTTCTCTCTCTGTCTAGCCTAAGATACATAAAAGCTACTGAAATAACTTAAAATTTACAATGTCTATAACAATTTCCAGGTTGTAAAACCAGTAAGCTTTCTTTAATCCAAATGCATTTTCTTTAATAGAAATATTTTTCCAAAGGAATAAGCAATACTGCATGTACCCCCATGACTCTGTAAGGGAGTGTAAGGGACACTTAAGACTTTAATAACTGTTCGAAGATCAGAAGCTTGAAAATCTGAGCTTATGCTTCAAGAAAAAGGAGATTTCAGAACCAATTCCATTATTTATAACCTAGGAACCAATTCTTCCATAGTCATTTAATTCAGCAAGTTTTTGATCTGTCTCCTCATCAGAAAGTATGACTAGCAAGTAGGTATTTCCAAATATATTCAAAACTGACTGGAGACTTCCAGCTTTTTCTTGACATTTAAGGTTAGCCATAGTACAGTGGCTAAAATCTCCCAACTATCAGCCAGCCTAAAGTCTGGCTTTATTTTAGAGATGAGAAATAAAAACAGCTTTGCTGAATGGTAGACAGACATGAAGGGGATTAGATTCTTTCGTTCAGCTTTGTATCTTTGCCAAAAATATGTATGGTACCCTTTGCAGTTCTTGATTCTTTTCTTCTAGCTGTGCTTCCATCTGTCTCAGTCGTTCCTCTATATTGCCATGCCTCTCCTCAGCCTGTCAATTTGAAAACAAAATTAGAATTTTTTTTTTTTGAAAAAAGGTTTCAGAAGCATAGAAACATGGAAGCACAATAATATATTTAACATGCTTTGCGCAACTGCCATTTATGGTAATACACAATGCAGAACAGATGCCTTTCTGTCACTAAAAGGACCTAGTAAGAGTTCATATGGTAAGTAACAAAATGATGAAGCCTCTCACCCCTAAGTACCATGAATCAACTACTATTTGCAAATGAGCTTGCAACAGCAGAAGTTCATTCAAATCCCCAAGAATTTAAAAAAAAAAAAAATTAAATGCATTTTCAGCTTTTCCTCGCTAGCCTGGACGATGTGGCCCTTTGTTAGTAATCATGACAAAGCAGAAAGCAGCAAGCAGAAACAAGGACTAATACACAAATTCTACCTTCCTAAGCTTGGTGGTAAGTTCCAATACTTTAGCATCTTTAACAGCAGAGCTCCCAGGAGACAAAAGGTCAGACTACAGAGCCAGTTAGGGACAGGAAAGATAACAGGGAAAGAAATGAAACTGAGACTTGAGAAGAAAACACACACACACACGGACGGAAAAGGCTCATTTGTAGTTATTACGTATTCTTCACACTTCATTATTCCATTTGCAGCCTTCTAAAAATCTTAATGAGTACCATTACTTCTCTCTCTCTCCCCACATTCCTCGCTTGGCTAACAGTAGAAGAAATTTGCATTTCCCCCTCAGAAGTAGTTCTTATTTTAGAAGACTTTATGCGTATTATTCAACGAATTTTAATAAAAAGCAACAATAATTCAGAGAGACATTTTCATAATGTCACAGAGTTAAGAGAAAACCTGCTTAAGTTCCAAAGAGCAAAAAGTTAAAAAAAGTACATTAGAGTATGTTCATAGAGATGAACAGAAAACGCAGAAAACAAGGAGAAACATTTTCTCAACTAGTTGGGAGGAAGAACAGAAACACAATGTAAGAAACCCAACACTAGTAAATCTGTAAGAACAGATTTCTTGTAGCAGGACACCAACAGAGAAGAGAGTCTTGAGGACACTGTCCAATTGACTCACCTTTGAAAGTGCTGCAACTCTCTGTGCCAGCTCAGCCTCCACCTCCGGCAGAGTTTCAGCTTTTCTCAAAGTCTGCTGCAGCTTTTGCTCAGCTAGTTCCAGTCGTTCTTGCAATTGCCTGTTCTTATCTTCACTCTACATAGAATTATGATCAGCAAATATTTAGTGTTAAAATGGCGATTAATTTTCAACAAAGAGGAAGGTAAGGATACAGCTTACTGCCTTTACTAGACCTATGGAGAACAAACTGTCCAAAACTGGTTTCATAACCAACGATGTGGCATCCTCCCCTTCATTACATGTAAGAACTTTTTTCTCTTTAAATTTTTTTTCTGCGGACAATTTTGTGTATTCTGAAAGCAACTATATCACCAAATAAATGTAGTTATGGTATGGGAAGCAGTATAGAACAAGTTGTGAATTTTCAATGCCAAGGCTGTGCCAAGACTGAGTTACATCAAGGAAAAAATTCCTTCATAATTTAAATAACACTATGCACATTATTGCAAAATTTATTTTTATGTAAAGTAGGTACAGCTTCTTTTAAAAATTATACTAAAAGGGACTTCTCTTGTTGAATAAGAGTTGCCTGGCTTCCTCTAGTTAGAAAGTGATTGGCTAAACAACCATTTCTGGTTTCAAGTTGGACTACTTCATGTCAAGCATATGTCAAATTTCCTCCTGCAGTTAGGCAACGTTTACTTCTATTATAGACTATAAAAATCACTACACAAATTTTAAAACTGTTTTAGTTTAGAATGAGTAATTCTCACACATGAAACTAAAGATACTTGGATACACATATAAGAACTTAAAAATCCACAATTAACAGGGACAGCAGCCCTGCTGCACCATGATCAGGTGCACTAAAATACTTAAAACCATTTCCTCTCTCTAGTAAACTGTCCCAACTTCATTTCCAGGGTAAAATTCTCTACAATGCTCTTCTCCAGTTACTGAAAAAACAATCGTTAACAATAGGACATTACAGATTATATTTATCTTCCTAAAAGCAAAGTGCTTTAGTACAGTATGAACATTAATTATTTCCATTAGCTTTACGCTGAGCAAAATGTACTTCATCTTATTTCAAATTACAACCTGTCGATGCATGGAGTCTTTAGTGGCAATTTCATTTTCAAGTTTATCATTGAGGTCATGAACAGATGTAGCTTCACGTTGTGCAGCGAGGTAGCGTTTCTCAAGAGTTGTAATTCTCTCTTCCATGTCTTCCTTTTGGGCCATAGTCTATGCAAGACAAGACAAAATTTAGAATATAAGTGATAATTATTTAGCGATCAAATTGGGGGAAAACCCACAAACCAAAAATAATAATAAAAATAATAATAAAATAATATAAAACAGATATAGTCTTTCTTTCAGGAAAAAAGATGAAGTAGAAAGAATAATCTCAGACTTACAAGTTCAATGACTTTTTTTTTTTTAAACGCTGAGTGCCTAAAAAGACTGGTCTTTATATTACACCACAGACCTGCTACTTACCTTTTCAATGGCACAAACACAGCAAATCTCTACTTCCTGGGGACAGTCAGAGAGTGTTCTTGGACTTAACTAAGGTCCCTTTCTATTTAATAAGGATACAGTACACTGCAATACATAGGACCTTGGAGATTAGTGACTGATCAGTAACTGGAACTATCAATCACACCACTGAAATTAAAGTGATTCCTGAACCACGCACATCTTTAAAAATAAAACATTTAAGCTTCATGAATAAGCTTAGCATTTATGACAAGATCAAGCATCTTTTCAAGAACATGTTAAAGTTTGCAATGCTCAATCTCTAATTTAATATACTTGTGAAGTACTGAGTTAGCCATAGATTTATTCTGAAGACAAGTTTTCTTAAACGACTGGTCTTTTAAACAAAAAATAGCACTATCATGCTCTGAACAATTTTCTTCTCACCTATCAAAGACATACAAAAGCATAAAGGTGTAACTAAGCACTAATGACACTGAAATTTTATAAAGCAGTTGCATTTGTGACTGCCCAAATTTTGACAGTTTATTCCTCACCTCTCGTACATCTCTCTGTAACTTCGTATTCATTTCTTCAGATTTGATTAAGTCTTTTCTAGCTGTGTCAAGATCTTCTTCCAGCTCTGTTACTCTGCTAGACAAAGTAGTAAGACGTTCTTTCATTTGTGTCTGCTCTTTGTTTTGCTTATCTATGATGTCTTGGAGTTCAATCACTTTAGCAAGGTTTTCATCGTGGCATAAAGAACCATCAGAGGATCGCTATTAAACAGGGGAGGAAAAAAAAAGTATTTGCATGTTACACAGGCATTTGAAAAACAAACTGTTACTTACCTGTAAATACCCCTCCAAGATCATTTTATTATTGGATACACTGCAAAAATTGAAATTGTGGTAACAGACTTTTTAATTAAACGATCACTCAAAAATCTTTTATTACAGTTTCAAATTAAAATAGTACAGTTAATGATTAAAAATCAGACATCAGCTAAAAAAGTAAGTAGCTGTACCTTCCCATTTGTAGTTGGTGTATTTTCCTGTTCGTGATTTATATCCAGCATCCCATCTGGAAGTGTTTTCTTCTGATTATTTTGCTCTTTCAGAATCATTAACTAAAAGAAAAGTTAAGTTTATATACATATGTTTCAAGTCAATTTCTTTCTCACTAATAATATAAGGAACAGCTGCAAAAGCAAAGGAGCAAAACAACAATTACTGATTCTACTGCAAGGTACATATTAATAAAGTATGGCACAGGCACTCAAAAACTTGCAACCCAAAAATTCTTATTTTAAAGCCACAGGAACTCTTTCTTTTTTTTTTGGGGGGGTGGGGGGTGGGATGTTAGGGTTTTTTTGATTTTCCTTTCCTACTCTTTCAAATTGACTAAGTTAAAAATTATAGTTATCCCATTTGGTTTAAAAAAAAAAATCAAAACCAAGAAGTGAAAGTGAACCTTAACAACTGAATAAATCACTGTGTACAAATATTGACTAAACACCCACAATGAACACATGAAGACCTCTTTTAAAAAAAAACCTACCTCTTTATGCGTAGTACCTAGTTCTTCTTCCAATAAGCTACATCTTTCAAGTGCTACTCGTAACCTCTCCCTTACCTGAAAAAGTAATTTGAAATCATTCAAATTAAAAATAAATCTATTTCACTTAACGCCATGCTGCCATGCACTTCACGATAATAAATGACACTATTTCCATTACACTTAGAGACCTGCTTAATCTTGAGCCAGTACTAATGACAACATATGCTACAAAAAACATTCTAGAGAAACTAGGCATATCTTAAAACCTAGCTTTTCCTTTTTTATCATAAACAAATCATAACTCAACATGACCTGTATATTTAGGCAAGAATTAAATATATCCAGAATCTGCTTATCCTTTTGTAAGGCACAGAGCATGTATGCTTTTGCTTATTTACAACATGGAAAAAGAGACAGAATTCTACTTAAAAGAATTTGTCAGATTTTATATACAAGGGTCACAGAAGTTAGGCAAACTATGACCCGGCAGCAAAATCCACAGTAAACTTTACCATTTGCATATCCTGCTGCCAACATCAGGCACAACTAAAGGGTGGAGTTCCTTGAATTCAGCTTTATTTGATATTACAGTGTAAGCAGATTTCTCTCCTCCTGTTCTCTCTAGTCCTTTACTTGTATGACATAATTGGGAGGTATAATCCTGGTATTATACAGGCAGGTAAATGTATGCATTCCTACAACAAATACATTGCCCAAACCACTCTTAGTTTACATTAGCACAGTTAATGAAGTACTAGAATAAACTACAGCACCTTGCTTTAGTGCAACATATTAATTTAGGAGGGCAGTTACTGATGCAGTTATAGCAAAGCCAATATCTTAACAGCGAGAAAAGTTCCAAGAACCTGACTTCCACAACTTCAGTACAAACAACTGCATGGTCCACCCAAAAGAAAGAGGGGACAGGATGAGATGATGTTAGCTACCGTATTTCATTACCTTTTCGTCAAGGGCTTTATGGTGTTCGAATAAAGATTTTAGTGCTTTGAGAACTTCTACTTCACTAGAAACTCCTGCTGGCGACTGAGCTTGTCTCTTTACAACAGTCATTCTGAGAGATCGTTCATGCCTGGAGACAAGACACTCCAAATGTTCCAGTAATAGCTAAAACAAAAGGAAGGAACAATGTTTACTGCTGTTCTGTACAGCTGCAGAAAACTTTGTCTCCTAAAACATCAAGTTTTGAGTTCTAAACTGCAAATCTGAGAGCCAAAGACTATTGCATCAAGCATAAGGACCTGTTTTTAACATTTCACCCATGTTAGAAGTTGTATCAGAGCTAATGCATTTCCTACTTCTCTCAGTCTAGTTTTTAAATAAGGTTTCTACTTAACCAGGTCTTTTCAGTTCCACCACCAATCTGAGGAACTGCATGCTTGTCAGGAGGATACACATAGGAAATGCTCTAAATTGGACAGGAACTGTTCTTCTGGCAGCAGTGTAAACTGCTGGAACAGATCACTACAGCTTGCCCGCTCTGTTCCTCTGATCTCAGGTGTTGTATTATTACGAAACTTTAACAACAAGAAAGCTGAATGACAGATAGCACTGCAGTCTTACAAGCTTTTCCTGATTCTGCACAGCAGTATTTGGAGCTGTGCATAAGCTTCCAAACTTCCTTAATCAACACCCATTCGCACTTCCAGGGGGATTCATGTGCAAATATCAGGGAAAAAAAATACTTTTAGCTTTTCAAATTCAACGTTCAATATTTTTCTCCATGTAGTTGGATGCTTTAGCAATGGTAATCTTGGAGAAGACAAGGAACTAACCCTCGTATTATTTCTTTCTGCTTTCAGTTCGGCAATTTCTTCTTCCCTTTCAAGCAGCTGTTCCCTGCATACATTTAGCTCTTTCGTAAGCGCTGCAAATTCCTGAAATAAACCAGACAGAAATAAGCACATCAAATATCGGGACATAGTGAGAGTAGATTCATATGAACGCTTGACATGATTCCTTGAAGTATTAATTTCAGATGTCTAAAGCTAATACAGTTGTATTAGTCATGCTAAGCAGGCTTAAGTTCAAACACTTAAAACCGTTACACTGCCAAATGTAAAGATAAAACATGTTTGACCAGTAGTTTTAAAGAACTCATTTCTCTCCCAAGGCAATTATCTGAATTGGGGTATCCCTGGTAAGCAAAGGGAAAAACCTATTTGTAATGCACTTTGTTATTGTTTCAAAAAGTTGCTGTTTGTTTGTTTTAAATGACTGCTAAGGGAGACATGGAAAAACAGAGCACTAAGCAAAAACAGAACCCAGCAAAACGTGTCCAATTTCAAGTCAGTATTTAACTGTGAGAGACAACGCATAACCCCAGCATCTACCAGAACACGCAGGTTACTTCTCCATAGTAACAGAGCATCCCTGAAGCTTCACCACTGGGGGACTCAGACCTTCACAGGTCTTTATCTACTTAAGCTACATACAGGGATTTCATTTTCACCTACTTTCAAATCTCACAGAATGGAACTGAAATGGCCCTTTCCCTACAGTGCTGCTAGAAATCTTGGAGGATTAGAATCAGAATTTTCTATAAGCTGAGCCCTTGGGCTCAAAGCCCTCAAAAGGCTTTCCCTTCAAATTCAATAAAGCTTTCAACCAAACAAAACTGAACCAAAGTGAAACAGCTAGAGTGAAAAGTCCTCAGGGAACAGGAATTAAGCTAACTCACAGCAGCTCCTGCATGTTTTTTTGAACATTTCTGAACGTCAAGATTAGTCAAATTTATAGAATATATTTCTAAATTTTTTTCTGTCAGGACGACACAATTGTACCTAGTATCTGAAAGAGCCACTACATTCTAAACTACTTCCACTCTATCAACAGCCTCATTAAAAATACTCAACATAAAAGGCATTTAAACTTTCTATCAACTCAGTAAGCATGCTCTGGCTAGAGTAAGAGATACAACTATACACCACATTTATAAGCAAATACTGAGCCTAACTTTATCTACCTACTTACTCTGGCAACATTTAAATTGTAATCTAAACCACATTAGAAAATTATTATTAAGAGTAAGCATGAATGTGAAAAAGTCCCTGCTTTAGAAGAGGGCTTTGTAGGAAATAGGAAAAAACCCTCGTGTTATCAATGCAACTTAGGATGTGAAAATAAATACACATCGGTCACTCCAATGGGCAGTGAACACTTCAGAAGCACTTGTACAAGAAAACATTGAAACACTAGTAAATAGTCTTCTCTATTGTCTCAAATAAGGAAAGCACTCTAATAAACAAGAGTTGTGTCTAATAAAGAGTAGATTAGTACAGCTGAACTGGCGGTGATCAAGACAAGATGGACAAGACAAATGGCCAGCTAAGAACAACATACCGTGGAGACACACTGCGTGCACAAATGCTACTTCTCTAAATTTTCCAAACTCTGCAAGATCCATTGATTAATAAACAGTAGCTGCATATCAAGTAAAAGCTTAAGATGGAGCTGTTTTGCAGTAAAATTCAAAGTGACAGAATGCTTAAAAAAAAAAGGACACCTCTGCTAATTATACTAGTATATCTGCAAATTCTAAAATGCAGCTAAAATAAGCAGACGTAGTCAAAAGACACTATCTGCAAATTCCAAGATTAATTTAGTAAACTTAATTCTAAAACATACATGTGACCGAAAAGACAAAAAACACTGTTGCGCAACATGTACCTACAGTGAACTCCTTTGGAATTACTACTAATAAAAAACTACTAAAAGGCTTTTAAAGGTTGCTATGAAAAAGATAGTAATACCACCATCACAGATGCAGAATCCATCTCCATAATCCCTCTTCCTAAATAAAAATCTGTTCATTGGAAACAAGACTCAGTATAGTCCCCCTAGGTAATCAGCAAATGACTTTTTCAATTGCTGGGAAAAAAAAAAAAAATTATTTCTTTGACATACTTAATAATTACGCTCACATAAATATTTCACTGCAGTATTTCATTTGCATCCTTCAAAAACCTGGCCTATTATTTTCAAGTAAGAATCCCTGGAAATACACTTACTAAAGCAACCTGGTCTGTAAATATAGCTACTGGAACTTTTAAACACACAAACTACAAAACATTCCTTGCACAGGTAAACCAAGACAGGAAAAAACCTACTTCAAGCTTCACAGAAGCTAACGGAAAAATTGACTCTACTATGAGCATTCCCTGCAGAACACTCCTTTGTGTCCAAACTTTTCCTGTACTTTCAGTATCCCACCCGTGGGAGCTTCCAAGGGAGCTTCCAAGACTCCCAGGGAACTGACGGCACACATCTCTCTTGCTCCAAGCTTAGGTAAACAAGAACGCGGTTCCAAAGTTGCAGTTCTTCACAGTCCTTCCCTACTTATCTTTATGTATTTAATAATTAAGCACTACTGAAACTACTAGAAGTACTAACAGACTCAAAAGTATTCGCAAAAGAGCTTTATATGAACTTATTTTCTTATCTTTTCAAAATAATTAAAACAACTCTTAAAATGCCAACATCAAAATATACAAGCATCGACACAACACAGTTCTCCAAAGGACACGAGAGCGACATGGAACATTCTGTATTTTTCCAGTCTCTACCTCAAGTCTTGAGAACAGGATAAAGAAAGTAGTAAAGACCACCAGACACCATTTTGTCATCCGTTTTCAACTTAAAATCACTGTAGAGCATTAATATACATTTTCTTATCTAAGATATGTTTGAGCTTCACCTTTTGAAACACAGCTGTGTATTTGAAAGGAAGTCTATTCACTCTTCAAGTGATTATAGTATCTACAGTTCTATCCCATTGCATACTTTTGTGCAAATATAAAGTGTAGCACAAATACATCATAATTACGACACGAACCATCACACTGTGAGACGACCCAAAAGAAGAACAATGCACACAGGAATTTATATTGCTGCTACATAAGCAGACTGACACGTATTTCTGGCATTGCCTAATACCTCCATTGCTGTTCATTTTGACAAAATATAGTTCCTTTGAGTCCCATAAGCTGCCTAATAAAGAACACTTCAATGTCCTTGGTTTCAGTTGACACTGCCAAAAGACACGTCCTTTCTAGTTTTAGTACTTAACCTTCAACAGTAGACAATTTTGATTTCCTCAAGCAGTTCAAAAGGAGAAACTACTTGAAACTTTATCATCTCAAAAAAGTTTGAGTTGTCTCATAATTTCTTCCTGAAATGAAATGTACAGAAATGAATGTACAGAAAGAATTAAAGGAAAAAGTCCTGAGAAACTTTTCTACTTATCCACAAAGCTGTATTGATCTTCTCCTTGATTACAGAAAAGTAAGAACATCAGAATGAAGTTCTGCTCTGGTTCTGGTTGCCATCAAAATAATAAATATCCAACTCTTAGGACTGACAAGAAGGTGACTCAGAATAAGCACTTTAGAGCACTTACAAGAATCAGCCAGAGTGTGCTGAATATGCCAGGTAAATATCCCCTGTTGATTAGAACATAATGACAAACACTCATATTCTATAATAAATTGAAATGTTTACTGAAGAAAGTAACTTTTTGAGCCATCTGAATCATTCCAAATATGACACTTGCTGCCAGAAATAAATACTCTCAACAAAAAGCTAAATTAAGAGAAGTTTGTTGTTGTTCAGTAATACATTTTCTAGGGTTTTTTTTTATCCACAAACCCCATGATTTTTTAAAGCAACAGCGTTTCTTCTACATCAACCTTCAGAACTGACCTTCAACCTTTAGTATTTTAGGGGCCACAACATAAACATCCTTCCAAAAGCTGGATCAGCTGGTGTCTAGCTGTGAAGCTGTACATTTCTGATGTCTGAGCTGACAGTCACTTGGTTACTTGCGAGATCTCAGCCCAGGAACATTACAGCTTTCAGGGAACAGGTTGTCTTCATGTTTATTACAACCATAATTTCTAGGTTCCACAGTCCATCACAAACCGATAAATGCTACCTCACATGAAAGACAGTATTTAACTTAGGGAAAAACTTGAAAGAAACAGAGGTAATCTCAGAAAGTCTATTAACATAAGCTGTGTATTAGGGATGCTCTACAGACAAAGAACTCTAAGTTTGCCTGGAATTTGCTGAAGCAAAAAAAATTTATTCCACAATAAAACGCAACACCACTCTTGAGCGCATAAGGAATCATGGATTACAGGCAACAACATGACCAGAAAGCTTATTTAAAGGCTGAAGAGATATTAAAAAAAAGAAACATACTTTCAATCCAAAGAACATATTATTAAATACTATTAAAGTAGTATCTTCTGGCAATACAAGGATGAAGATGCAACTGTTGCATCTTCAGGAACATCTTTACCAGAAATGTGTGAGTGGAATTTAGCTGTTTAATCTCCAAGTAATATTTTGGTTTACTGATAACATTCTGTTCTGTAGCCTGCATATCAAACAAGCCACTCAAAAACCTGAGAAGCTGAAGGAGCATAAGAAGAACAACCGGGGAAAGTGCAGGCCATCAGGGATGAGAAACCAAGGGAATCGGAGGTGAGTTTCTATCACAGTATTTACATTACATACATAATTGCTCCAAATGATGCGTGCATGAAAATGACAAGTGTACAGTCCTAAACAAAACAATCAAAGAAAACCTAAATATCTAAGCTTAACAGGGTATTTCATAGTCACTTTATTTTAAACCTAAGGGGTTTAGGTGGCACACAGTGACCAATATCCCAAATATATTTGGAAGTTCCTAGCAAGAGAATTTTTGTACCTATTAAGTCACACCAGTTTAACTTTTTTTTTTTTTAAGCTAACAGTCAGATTTAGGAAATAAATCAAGGCTATTTAGAGTTAAAACTGAAAAGAATTGACATGTTTTAATCACTGAACCCAGCCTTCCAAGAAAACACACGTACACATACTTTAACAGCAA